ACAACGAAGAAAAATACATCACCCATCATTGCCATTGTGTATGAACCTGGAACTCAGTCAATAACAGATAATCACAGCATATAGTGCATCAGGAGCACTAAACTCAGTAGCTCCAGCTGCAAACCGAACTTCCATAATCTTGCAACATCGAAACTGGAGCAGAAACGGCAACGAGAACGGTCAACATAAGTCAAGTTCTCAACCGTCATTCATTACCTATCAATATCGGAACCGGTAGTTTAAAAAAAACTCTTTGTTTGCTGCTGAAGATGGGGACGGAGCACTTATTGGCGGGTATCAGGTGCTTTGATGTCAATTCCTAATTCAGCATTCAATATTGAACATCTTTTGATATGATTTCAGAAGAACTGGGTACCTGTGTGTCCACGCCGCAAACAACAATAGTGCTAGCTCTCTAAATATATAACAACACACTTCTGCAGGTGTCCGTGGGCGACTACAAGGACTTCAGCTGACAAGTTATGACCCAGCTGGAGCAAAAGTGTTTCAGTTCTTTGCAACACCCACTGAACAGAAAGTCTACATAGTGTCTACCTCACTAGCTACAGAGATACAGACTGTCGATATCCGTGTCAATAAGGCTGACGGATATGGCCGGACCGTTGTCTCTCTCTGTGAGGTGGAAGTGTTTGGTGGTGAGTAGTTAAAACTGGCATCGATAGTGATAATCATCATCATAGCTGACTATCTCACTCTGTGAGGTGCAAGTATGTGGTGGTGCTGGGTAGTTAATACTGGCTTGGAAAGATCACTATAGATCAGTAGACCATGCTGTAATTGCTTATTTTATGTGTAACTGAGGTTTGATTTATCATGCCAGTTATTTAATTTACAAAATTAAAAATAATTTAGAACCTTTAAAGCAACAAGTCTAAAATATGTATACAATAGTTGACACAACTGAGCAAGATCACCTTTCAGAGTTCTTCGGTCATCCACTAATGGAGTTGTAGTTACATTCAGACATATTAGTTCCCGAAAGAGTCTTGTTAAAGGATTAGATCCACTCACAATAATTGTCTCAAGTTATTAGATCCACACACAATAATTGTCTCAAGTTATTAGATCCACACACAATAGTTGTCTCAAGGTGTTAGATCCACTCACAATAATTGAGCTACTAATTGCAAATGATCAGTGTCTGTTCTTCGGTCAGGGTAAAGGGGGAAAAGGAGAGAGAGGGTGGGGGTTGATGGGAAGACTACAAGACTACTTCAACAGGTTATAAATTTAATATGCTGAAGATCTAACAAGAAATAACAAATACAACTAAAACTGAAACAATGCAGGTCCAAAGGATTCCTAGTTTGTAATACACAGAGCTGAATTTTTTTACTGGCTGACAGACGATAAATAATTTAAATATCTATGAAATATATTCTCTGAGGGCAGCAGAATAAATTAGGGGTAAAGGCTGTGGAGGGATGAATAAGATGTCAAAGGGCCAGTGCATTTTATACAAACGGATAATTAATTTACATTATTAAGCCATCCAGATATAAAAATGACAGCCAGGAAACAGACTGTAAACATTAGGGAAGACTCAGCTAGGTAAAAGTAACATATGTAAGTCAAGATGCCTGAGGAAAATCGCCAATTTAACCAGCCAAGACAGAGTGAGAAATTATGCTATCAGACAAGAGTGAGAAATTATACTCTCATACAAAGTGTAGAAATAACATCTTGCATCAGTTATTGAGAATCAGAAGATCAAATTTGTTCATCATATTATTAGAATGCTTCCACAATACTTACCCACACAAATGACACACCTAGAAAGATGTGACCTGAGAGCAACATGGTGACCAAAGAGATGTACGAATGGTATATAAGACAAAATGCATTCACATGCTACCCATTGAGCGGTGGATGGTAAAACATTTATCCCTAAGGCAAAATTAAAAGTTAATGATGATGATGAACAATCTTGTCATTTACTTTACCTATAATATTTATTTTATCCACAAATCATGCAGTGTATAGATTATCCGCAAATAGCATATGATTTAAAGTATCTATCAATAACACATTATGCAGCGTATCCCAAAATTATGTTCGACTGAGTATACACACTAGCTCCATGTCCCCAGATTCTGTGTGTGAGCCAGGCCGGTTTGGTCGGAACTGTGAACACAAATGTAACTGTGCAGACAGCAATGAGACCTGCTTTGTTAGCACCGGTGGATGTCTTTCTGGGTGCCCTTCTGGCTTTCAAGGGGAAAGTTGCAGTGAAGGTAATTACAGCATCCTCATCATCCCTTTGATCTTAATAATGTGAGAAAAACAGCTGCCATTAATGCCGAACTCAACAGATATTGCTGGGCTACAGGAAGAAAACCACTCTTCTTTACGGCTGTGACACATAGTTGACTATTTTTTTCTCCCACCAGAATAAATGACTGAAAAGCTTTCACTTGTGATGCCTAAGAAGAGTGAATGGTATTAAGTGACAGGATAAGATCGTAAATGCTGAGGTACTGAAAGAGCAGGTATCACAACAGTTTTCAATATTCAGTCTCCAAACGTTCAAGTGGCTAGGCCATACTTGAAGGATGGAGGATGGTAGAGTCCTCAAGGACATCCTCTAAGAGGAACTACAGATGGGTAGAAGATGTCTAGGTTGGCCTCTGCTGTTATATAAAGATGTTTATAAGTGGACATGAGTAATACATGTATTGAGGGGATTGATGAGGGGAAAATTTCATGGACTGTGTTGCATTAGATGGAAAAAAAAGGGGGGGGGGGGAGATTACGAAATAAATATGAATAAAGGAGAGAATGATTGCAAATAGGTAGAGAGCTGACCATCTGAGAAAAAGCTTACTAACGACATGCAATTTAAACAATGGTCCTCAAATCCCAAACTCTAATTGTTGAAGACTTTTTTCTTTAGGTGAGTAGGTCTTAATAGTTACAAACTCTGATTCCAATGCCTCCCTGTAGCACAATTTAACACAGTCATCTGGAAAGATGGAAGGTGCCAACATCATCATTATCCCCATCAACAGAATTAAGGATCTGTATTCATTAACAGAATCAGCATCAGTATTATCACCACCATAAGAATCAGCATCAGTATTATCACCACTATAAGAATCAGCATCAATATTATCACCACCATCAGAATCAGCATCAGTATTATCACCACCATTAGAAACAGAAGCATGGGACTGACTCTCCCCACCTTCATAAAAATGTATCTCATCATGAAACAGATATCTAAGCTTTGATAAGACAGAATACATGATAATAACTAGACAGGAAAAGGATATAAACTCTGGCCACATACAAGTCGATAATATAAAGATCAAACGGATGGAAACATATAAGTGCTTGGGTGCAAACTTCAACTGCTTCAATATGCTGAGAGAAGAAATACAACCTACAATACAATCTGGAAATAAAGTATACTATGCTCTTCAACTACATGTTGCAGGAGATCATGGATTTTAGAGAGACATGATCGCCCACGCCAGTCGGCAAGGGACCTGATGATGATGATGCTTTTCAACATCTGCTAAAGTCAAACTGTCTGTCTCTCAACACAAAGATCAAAATACATAAAATGTTGATAAGACCAGTCGTTTTATATGGCTCTGAAACTTAGAGCACAACTAAACTTAAAAAAATGAAGCTTATTACAGGTTTTCAAAAACAGAGTCAAATCTTTGTACCCATCAAAGATGCAAAGAGCGGTGAATGGAGAATGAGAACAGCAATTAAATTCATAATCTGTTCAAATCACCACTGCTAACTGGCATCATGAGAGCTAATAGACTGAAATGGTTGGGGCAAACTGAAGGAATGTCAGATGACAGAGAAGTAAAAACTATACACAGGGAGATGAATGGTTGCAGACCGTGAAGCAGACCAAGAAGACGATGAATAATTTCCAGGCAGACCTGCAAACACTTGGTGTCACTAACTGGAAAGAGTATCAGTATTATCACCACCATCAGAATCGGTATCAGTAATATCACCACCATCAGAATCGGTATCAGTAATATCACCACCATCAGAATCGGTATCAGTAATATCACCACCATCAGAATCGGTATCAGTAATATCACCACCATCAGAATCAGTATCAGTATTATCACCACCATCAGAATCAGTATCAGTATTATCACCAACATCAGAATCAGTATCAGTATTATCACCAACATCAGAATCAGTATCAGTATTATCACCACCATCAGAATCAGAATCAGTATTATCATCAACATCAGAATCAGAATCAGTATTATCACCACCATCAGAATCAGAATCAGAATCAGTATCAGTATTATCACCACCATCAGAATCAGAATCAGTATTATCGCCATCAACATCATTGTAATCATCACCATCATACTTTTCGCCCAAGCACAGATTTCTCAACATATCTACAACATGCCTTTTGGTATTCACATTGGTATAGGATAGAACAGGTTTCTATTCTTGGTCAGAATGGGCTAAGAAACAACAGTAAGAGTATCTACTTCATTGCACCTTGTTTATCTCACATTGCTCTGCCATTTTGCACAGTATATATAGCCATCTCCTGTGTGTCGACAAACTTTGTAGCTCCAGCTATGATTCCTATGGATCCCTGTAAAAACTGCACTCAACTGAACTGGACGATGAGGTTCTTGAAGTGAAGTTTACAATAGACCACTCGAAAATCACTTAACTGCTTAGCAATTGTAAACTGTAGCAGAATGAGCTAATGCCAAAATTGGGTATGATGGGCAGTTATATACAAACACCTTGCAAACATTACTGTCTGAATACTTATAGAATTCATAACTACATAGTCTTTGTGAAATACACTTTATTGTAACCACAGTTCAGTAGCTTCACTACTGTAATGCCACCTAACAAGCTAGCTGTTATATACATACAATTATATAGTAAGACAACAATAAAGCTTTTGTCATCAAATATGTTATCTGAAATCTTTGTTGTGATCACTATTGCAACTAACAACTAGTCTGCAGAAAAGGATGGTTTGGGGCCAGTTGCCAGTACAAGTGTCACTGCCGCCTTGATTTATGTGAGTCTGTTGATGGATCGTGCACTCAGGGAGATTCATGTGCAAGTGGATGGTTCGGTCCAGCATGTCAGTATGGTGAGTTTTCTATGTATGTGTGTAGTACGTTTTACTTATAATGACATATTGACACATGTATATCATCATCATGTTAATGTTGACACAAAAATCATTCACAAGGATCTCTAATGCTGTCAGTATGCTGGGTTTTTTCCTATGCTATCCCAGATTATTTCACATACGTTAATTTTCCTTTCTGCTGTTATTATCTAGGCTTTCTTAGATAATCCACATCTTCTTGTTCCATCTGTCGCCCACCAGATAGCTATCCTTGCCAGAGTGTCATGGGGCATTCCGTAAATAATGTGTTATATACATATATAATACTATGTATATATATAAAATATTATATATATATACTGACGTCTGGTGACTTGTCTACACACACACACACACACACACACACACACACACATATTAGCTAACTGGAAGTGAAAAGGGAAATTAAGCAGGAAAACGTGAAAAGAAACATGGTAGAACAAGTAAGTAGTTGCCCGTTTGACTGCAAAAACAGGAACATTAAAGACAAGACAAGGATTCTTCTGGTGCAGGGACTATAAAATATTACTCATGGTGAAGGCAATGAATATGTGAACAGTGAGTTAAACAACAATGATGATCATATACAACCATATAGTCAGCACCTAGACAGACCACAGAACTACAAGTCCTATTCTGAATCAAACAAATGGAAAATAATTGTCACATTCAACATCTGTTTATTTTCCTGAACACAAAAGTAGCGTGCTTCGCAGATAAAAGTAGCTTCCTCAGCCAATGAAGAACGGACAATAATAAAATTACAAACAAAAATACACAAATCGCTTATCTGTAAGATCCCGACTTTTGTTTCTTTCAAGAAATGACCTTGGCTCGCAGGTCATCCCATCCTTACATGGGTACTAGTTAAAGTCATGGAAAGTAGACATTTGGTTTGGTTTATTCAACAGATCAACATCATGGCACACAGGTTTAACCCATAAGTGCTCCATTCTACTTCTAACTCAAGCTTGAGTATGAAGAATCTCAGTGCAGTGCACCAACTTTTCTGCACAAACAAGGATCTTGAAATACTTTGGGTAGATTTTTAACAAAAAATTTTGCCCAGGCAGAACCATTAGGCTACTCTTTATTCAATTTTAAACTGCCTGGGTGTTTTTTACGTGCAAAACAATACACACGGGCGTCCGATCTTACTATTCAGAGACTAGGAAAATTACTAGGTCCACGTGAATAATTCCCAGCCTTCCCGGGAGATGTCCAATGTGATGCAGCACCCATTAAGTGCCGATTGTCTTTAAAATATAGATCTAGCCCTATATTCATTATACGACTGAAGATGTTGAAAAAGGTCCTTTACTTTATTTATCTATTTGTAAGGAAAAAGGTCCTTTACTTTATTTACCTATCTGTAAGTAGAGGTCTAGAATATGTATGACACGTCTTGACAGTAGAAGTAGAAGTGTTGAGTCACATGTGATACATGAAGCGGGCACCACTAAGAATGGTAGGTTGCTGCGAAGGTTGTAACTCAGAAATGTTACGATAAAGCTGCATTTGTCTTTAAGTCTTCACCCTCGCCAAGACACAAATCAACAGACTGGAAAAGGTACAAATGAAGCAATCCACATCATACTTGGGTGAACCAAAGACACATCATGTAGAGCTATGAGGAACCTACTAGATCGTTTAGATGTTAAAAGCTGTTTTTTAATGCGCCTAGTTTATTGAGCTGACGCACTCACCAGAACATAAGCCACAAACGTGGTGCAAATATTCCAGACCACAAATATAACTGGAGACTGTTGGCGACTTCAGCTCGCTAACAGCAGGTTGAATGTGGTCAAGCATTGTTTTGTGTATGTGTGTGTGTGTGTGAGTGTGCGTGCATGCGTGCGTGTGCGTAAGAGGGAATCAGAATTAGAGATCTTTATCCCCACCCCCTCCCCCAATTCCTTGATGTGATAAGTATCGGAAGAGAAGAAGAGGAAGAAAAGAGATGCATTTATTCATGAGTATCACATATTTTTCACAGAGGACTTGGTACAGAGTGAGACCCTAGATCAAAGTTTACTGCCTCCATTTGTTGTCAGGGATAGCAATGACAATACTTGTGTTGATGATAGCACACAGAGGGTAATTATTGTCTGGACTATACCTTATCAGTTCACCTGGCTGAGGGCTGTTGTCAAAGATCCTGGTAAGGGGAAACTACTTTTATACCCAACTTACATCAGAAGCTTTTTGTGCTAGAAATGTGTCATCATCATTTGTATTTAAAAAATTTAATATAATTTTTCAGTTTAATTATAAATAAAATATTAAAAAACACTTATTTTGTATTTTCATAAACAGTTTGCACATCTACGGTAAATATCTAACTAATATGATAACTTGGGAATTCATAAATGAAGAACACATTCTGACCAAAATGTATCTCTATACTCTCTGTTTGTCTTTTTTGAGGTGGGTGGGGGGGGGGGGCGGGGCGTTTATTGTCCTCCACTTTTTAATCACATGTTTTTATGTTGGAAGAAAGGTGGGGTATGGGGTTTTCCCATAAACTCAAGGGAGGTGTGGGGGTCTTGCCATATATTCGAGGGGGCACGACAAGCAGTCTGTTGTATTCTAATCTCAGTCAAGACAAAAGCTGTATGGTATATAACGAAATATGGATGGCACGCTCTTTCATCAAGGCGACCAGTCTATATAGCTTTTCTGGCAGAAGGATGGAATAAGAAAAATACCTTTCTGTCTATCAATGGTTTTTTTTTTAAAGTGGTTAGCTTTCGACATAATTGGAGTTTCTTTTGCTAGTCTAGAATTGACTTTGCACATTTGGTGACTTTGGGCCGGGAGTGCAGAGAGTGACCAGCTGGTGCTGTGGAGGTGGAAGTCCAACAGTTGATTCACGACAATTTATGTTTAGGTGATTGATTATTTATACAGATGGCTCAGGGTAGAGAGGAAAGAAGTTCCTGGGGGTTCGTAGCGAAAGCCAATGGAAAATCTTTAGTGTAAGACAGCATAGCATACAACACCACAACATCTAGCATCAGAATGGAGGTGGAGTGGGTAAGTGCATCTCTCCGGTGGCTAGAGAACAAGATTCAAACACATGTCATAATTGTAGCAGACTCTGAAAGCATGCTGAGAAAGGTGAAGATAAGGATGGTTCGAGCAGAGTGGCTGGATCTGCACCACTGGGTGGGGATTTGATACATGACAAGGTAGATGTGGTCAAGGCCCTTTGGGAACAAGCAACAAAGTCAGAGAAGAAACAAGATTATTCTGGCCTGGAGAGAATTGGGCACCTGGGTGTAACCAGAGGGTCTGGCTGGCTCAATTCACATGGAGGAAAGGCCAGACGGACATATAACCAGAATGTGACACGTGCCATCAGTAACTGGAACTCTGTGCTGGCTGCTTAAGATGAAGACGGAGCACACATGGGAATGCCCCAGGTGCTTTGTTGTCAGTTCTTGACTTAACACAATAACTGATTTGGTGACTTTATTAGACTAATATTGACCTTATACAGTTGAGTTTATTAATCTAGTGTTCACCGTTCACTTTACACAGTTGGTGAGTCTATTTTGCTAGTCTTGTGTTGATTTCACATGTCTGAAGAGTTACCTTTGTCGTGTTTACTATCAACAGATGTCTTGAGCAGATTGTTTCTTCAGTTTAAAACCGACAGTTCTCAGTCAGTCAACTGCACAAACCATCAGCAAGCCAGAGTCAATGATAGAACGGTGGACATTCACTGTGACTTGAGTGAGATGGTGAAACAAGTCATAATAACTGGCGAGGGCGTCAAGTACTTATGTTCAGTTTACATCAGTGGAGGTGAGCTCACAGATTTGTTATTGCTGGTTACTGAAGGTGGAGTGTCTTAGAAATATAATTTGAACAGATTTGATACTATTTATAGTGCAGACTTGGGTTTTTATAATGTAAAAGAAAAACTGGTAAACTCCCTTCTGGTCACAGAGTAGTGGATTTAAACGTTTACCCTTCTTAGACAGTACTGAAAAACTAGAACAAGTGAAGGTTAAACCAGTCAAAAAATGCCTACAGAAGTCAGAAATGTTGATCAAAAAGCACAAATATCATAGCCATGCTGTAAACGGGTATAGTGCTATTGCGTCTTTGGATGACTGACTGACTGTAGCCAGTGACTCGTGTATTCGCCGGACCTCCGCTCTATCAGATAACTTCGAATCGTAAACGCGACCAAGACTCTTCATCGGTTCCTCTAGAACCGTGGGGATCTTATTCCTTGCCACCGTAAAACTGGTCGCCGCAACCTTACCTTTAAGGATTGACAGACTCCTCGACTTCTGCTGTTTGAACTGCATACCGATCCATTGGACCACCGCGTCCAATCTTTTCAGAATGGTGCAGGCAGATTCCTCGCTGCCCGTGATTATAGTCGTGTCATCCCTATATGTGCACGAAGTGGCGGCATCCAGTGATCCCCAATTTAAAGGCCCTGTCCGTAGCCGGCCGCCCCGGCCAACATGATCTGCATGGCCATGACGAACAGTATTGATGAGATCGTACACCCCATAGCTATCCCAACTTGTAGTTCAGTCCACCTCGTGGTAAACCTCGAGGTAGAGAAGCGCAAAGCGAACTTAGAGAAATATTGCTCGATCATGTCGTTGATCTGTGCAGGTACGTGAAACATGCGAAGGGTCTGCCATAGTAGTCTATGGGGAACTGCCCCATATGCGTTGGCGAGGTCCAACCATATAACGTGCAATTCGGTTCTCTCATGCTTGGCTCTCTGAAAAGATTCCCAAATCATGGTCGAGTGTTCAAGGCACCCAGGAACGCCTGGTATACCATCCTTTTGAACACTAGTATCGATGTACTTGTTCGCCATCAGATACTGTGTGAGCCGGCGAGCCATGACCGAGAAGAATATTTTACCTTCAACGTTCAACAGCGAGATAGGGCTGAATTGGGAAACACTTTTCGAGTCCTGCTCTTTGGGAATGTAGACTCCGTTCGTCTTTTGTCACTCCGGAAATATGTGTTTTCGACTTCACGCTTGTCTCAACAAGCCGTGAAGCTTTCGTAGGACTTTCGGCCAACGCTTGTAAAGAACGTACGGAACACTATTCGGACCTGGAGCAGACTTGCCCCTGGCTCTTTTCACAATTTCCTCAACTTCAGGCTAAAGGGGAGGTATCACTTTAAATGACACCTTCGGCAACTCAGGCTGCTTCAGGCCGCTAAGGATCTCTGGATTGTTATCGAGAGGCTCATTCCTCTTTTTGTCAGAGTACATTTTGCGTAAATGTGACTCAAGCTCCTCTTTACTGACAATTAGTTCTCCTTCTGTTGTTACAGAAACGCTTAGCGCGACAAAGGGCACTGTGTCTGTTCTTTAAATGCAACCGGACTTCATGCAGCCTCTCCCGTTCGCTGCATGTAGCGGCTTTGAACCGTTTTCTGAGGACATTCTTGTCTGCCCGACACTTCAGAATGTCCCTCTGTCTCCTGCTTATATTCTGCTTGACGCCCGGCGGCGCCTTTTCCCCTGTCCCGAACTCGCGGGAACAGTGTTCGTATATTACATCACCAAACTTTGTAAGCTTGTCGCCTAACAACTTCTTTTTTTAATCATAAATTAGTTTCTCGCATAATGTACCTTCTAACTTGCACTACGACACGTTATCGCTCGCAGGTGGAAACCTGATCCTGGAACGCACTTCCTCAGGAATCATCAAAATTGCACCTCCGCAGTCAACGTCATTCCGGCATGCGTTCTCAGACCATGCAACCCCGTGAAGCTTTTTTCACATGTGCAGAGCCAACACGGACGTTGGGCAATAGTCGGAGTCCGGGGGCTAGCAAAGTCGTCACCGTTTGTATCAAATTGATTGGGTCCATCATTCTCCCCCTCTTTCGATGGACCATGGGAGCATAATTCTATATTGGTTTGCGAAATTATAGGTATTATACTGTGTTAAGGGTGATCAACCCGGTCCACAGTCGACATCTGTCTCCGGCGATACCGGGCGGCCAGTCTTTCCATAGGTGTCAAAAGGTCTTTCCCGATCGTCACCAGCCTTTCCTGGTTGTCTTGTGGGCTAGCCGAGAGCATGTACAGCAGGGGTCTACCAATCACCAGTAGACGTAACCTCTCGTCGACAAATGTTTCAGCCCACGAGCTCCTAGACATTTTCAGAGTGGGCCCACCTGAGTTCATGAAGATCAGGGTTTGTTTCCCTGCTGCACCAATTACCGGATGTTGTTCGGATAGGGACAAGACGAATTTGTGATTTTGCAGAAGGTACTGTGAGATAAGAAGTCGTCGCGATAGCATAATTAAAGCAGTCTGCATACCTGAACGACCGAGCGGCAAGCTTACGATTGGTATACCGGACACATGTTGAACTTTGTTAGCAGGTGGCAGAGGGACACTGGCAGACAATTCGGACACGATGGACTTTTAAGGGATGAGAAATTCCTTTTCGCTAGACACCCGGACAAAAATATAAAGACTAGAAGCATGAAATTTAGTATGGATACTTTCTATACAATATTATAGGGACTGATTTTTTTTTAAAGTAGATTTTAGAAAGATTTTGTTTATTAAAATTTGATTATTGTCTTATAATGCAAGAATTTTTTTTTTTTTTTTTTTTTTTTTTTTTTTTTTTTTTTTTTTTTTTTGACTTTTTCAATAAACCTACAATTTAAAATTCTACGAAAAATATTTAAAAACATGTTTAAAGTAAATAAACTAAACCTGTACTTCTAAATATGATAAAAGGTCATGAATCTATTATTTATTTTTTAATACGTATGTTTGTTTTTAAAACTTTACAATTCTAAGTAAATGTTTTTTTTTCCCAAAAGATGGCTGCTATTGCCATGGCAACCATGATTATTTCACACTTAAAGATGAAAATGTAATAACATGTATCCCTTCAAATGACCATTATAAAGTAATTGCTCTAACTTGGTAAATCAAAAAAAAAATGTGGCGCAGTGACCCTCTAAGCACATACTCACTAATTCTTTCCTTCATCACCTAGGAGCTGTGGCTCTGCAGCGATCTCTCACTTCCCAGCCTCGGGTTAAGAAAATGCACCTTAAGAAAAGTCTGGTATGTCATGCAGCACAAATGATGGTGGTCATTCTTTAACTGTCCATCAATCCAGTGTTTGTGACCTGTCACGGACCTGATATCTATATTATTGAACTAGGGCTCGCTGTACGGCCCTGTGACAGACAAACTATACCAAAACACACTCAACACATACACAAATGAAGCACACACATCATCTTTAATGGCCAAAGAACAACATAAGCCAAAACAACCTCTACAGTTATGGACAGTCCCCTTATCCGAAATGCTCGGGCAGTGGCGGCAGTTATATTTACCTATCCACCCCGGGCCATTCCCATGGATGAACCAAAGGACACGATTCCACCTCCTGAAGTGCAGCGCCAACTAAGCTACGATCTTCGCCATGCGAGACTCAGTGGCACACGCAGGGTGAGTGGTTCAAGTATTAGCGGACAATGTCGACAACACAAGACGCAGATAACCCCCAAAAATCCAGGGACAAGAACACCTACCTAAACATGGTACAACCCCAACACAACTGTCCTAGCAAACTATCAGCACACGAGGAATAACAACAGCTAACCAACACATACGACGACAGCGTTAACAAAAAAAAAAAAGTCCTCATCAGTGTTGCCACTTTTCTTTGACAAAAAAGATCCAAAACAGGGTAAAAAAATATCTAAAAAGATCTAAATTTGCGTGGAAAATATTTAAAAAAAATATCCAAATGAAAAGAGTCACAAATTACAAAACTATTGAAATGACTTACCCTATAGACACATGTCCTCATCTTCACTGATGTCTGCTTCACAAGATCCACAGGATAAACTTAGCTTGGATGATGAAGTTGAAGCTTCAGATCCCAAATTACTCTGGTATGCTTTAGCTGTTCCTATTTCTTTTAATACACAATCAGGGAGCTGATAAGTGGAACAGCATTTTCCTACTCTCATCAGGCCAAACTTTATTGTCAAGATAGCATTTAAGAGGTCTAATTTCATCCTGTTTCTTAGGTTAGATTTGATGTAATTCATAGCACTGAAAACTCTTTCTACGTCAGCATTTGAGTGGGGTAGTATCATGGCAGACATGGCACATTCAAAGAGTTTACAAAATGGACTGTTTGATGACGCATCTTTAAATTGTCTCACTTCACTCCAAAACGCTTCAGTTTCTGTTTTGTTTGTCCATTCAACTAAGTTTATTTTGGTTAACTGATATTCTGCTCCCGCGACACTATTGTCAGTAGCCCCTAAAAATTTCATAACTTTACAATATTTAGGTATGTCCTTTACTGGCTGAAGTATGTTGCTCACAGAAAAGAGTGAAATATTTTTCAAAACATCTAGATTTTCAGGAAGTCTCTGCTTTAGTTGCTTGAACAATGAGATAAGGAAATCTTGACAGCGTTTTCTTAAGTTGTTCTCTTCATTCTCTGTTAACAGTCCTTTTGTTTTTAAATCATCAATTTTTGATTCAATTTGATATCCAAGGTATGGCTTAGGAGCCAAATAGCTCTCTATAGTGCAAGTGAGCAAATCAACTTTTGAAGTTGGCAACACCAGTCTTTTACCAACTGAGTAAAATAGCAAAGTGAGATCGTCAAGTAATTTAACTTTATCAACATGTTTGGATTCGAACAGTTTATTAACTTTTTGCACTTCCATTAAAATAGGTTGTAAAAAGAGAAGGAATGCCAAATTTTTTTCATCACTGTACATTCCATATAGTATCTCAGCTGTGTAGCACTTTTCACTTTGTCTTGTTATTTCAAAGTGTGTCTTTAACTCCAACCATTGGTTCACAATTCTTTCAACAGCTGGTTGTATTGATAACCACCTGGTTTTGCAATCTGACAGAATTTTCAGTGGTGTGGAACCATTATTTAAGGCTGAATACAATGCATTGTATTGCTGTTGTCTGACAAATGATTTTGAAAACCAGTTATGTGTTTCAGCAATAAGGTATTCCAAATTCCTTGGTAAACATTCAGATGAAGCATGTGATAATGCTAGCTGCAATGAATGACACATACATTTTATAAGTATTAACGATGGGATAGCTTCCTTCAACTTGGCATAAACGCCATTGTTTATGCCAACCATCACTGAGGCATTATCGGTACCAATTGCAACCAAATTTGTCAAGTCTAACTGTTTGCTGATTAAAAGGTTCTTCAGTTCTTGAACTATACTTTCTGCATCACACTTTTCCAATTGAACTAGTCCAAGATATGTAGAAACTACTTTGTCTGTATTGTTGCTGTAATATATAATACACACACCAAGCACTTTCAGTACCGAAATATCATTGGATTCGTCTAATAATAAACTATATTTATTTGTAGAAATATCACTGATCAAATCTTTTTCGAAGTGAGAAAATAAAGTATTTCTTATAATATGTGTACACTTGCTGCGATGCATTTTCACATCATCCATAACTTTACTGTCAGAAATTGTGTTTTTAAACAAATCAATCAAATGGTCACAGTTTGAAATTGCACAATGGCAACTTAAAAACATTGCGACCGACCCTTCAACTTTTGATGATTCATTTATCAGTGTAGTTCTGAAAACAGATGTCAGCGGTGTAATATCTTTGAATGGAACTGCAGTTTTATGCTTGTTAGTCTCTGCATGCTTCTTTAAGTCTTGTATTTTCGCTTTAATTTCACACTTGCAGTACTTACAACGAGCCTTGGTTATATCCCCAGGAACTGCCATCACCCAGTCTTTAATTTTGTCATCATGCAAATACTCTTTCCGAAATTTTTGCTCATACTTTACTTTTGGCATGTTGAAAGGTTTTTTCAAAGTGAAAGCCACACAAGAAGGTGAGCAATTATTTTTTAAAAATCACATGAAAAAGAAACACAGAGTCAGCATCACAACTATACTTCACAACACAGTGAGGATACGGTTGAAACAAAGTTAGTATGATTTACGCGCGATTTCGATTAATCAGCACCGGGGTTGTCAGATATTTGAGTGTTGACCTTAGTGAGAGTTCAAAGTTTAAGTAATGGCAGTTGCCACAATGTACGTGCCAGACCAAAACAAAAATATTTTAGTAAATATTTTACTCAATAATTATTAAAATGACACTAAAAGAAAAAAAATCTATAAAATATCTAACTCCATACGAAAAGAATCTAGAAAAATATTTAGTATCTAAACGTCAAAAACAGGATCTAAACGCAGTGAAAAAGATCTAAATTTGGATACAAAAGATCCAAAGTGGCAACACTGGTCCTCATCCTTGCACACCCTTTTTCTCCCCGTTCAGCTCCGGTTCAAACGTGTACGTTGCACCAGTGTTCAAGCATCTCAGGTTTTCCCCGTATCATCAAACCAACTGGCTGAGCGCTGGTGCACATTTTTGGTCCGTCAAACACCAACATGTAGTTACACGACGTATTGTCTATACTCTGTCCCACAGGGCTATGACATGACCTGTTTCTCTGTTTCTAAGTGCTAGAGCTCACTCAGTGACACTTTGTTCTGGTAATCTTGTTACATGGCCTAACCCTCTGGCTTGTTTATATTGCTTAATATTAACTACAGCCCTACTTAATAGGCTTATTTGTTGGAGCTGTAGCAGTTGCAGTGTTAGAAATATTTGTCTGCAGTTGAATTCTGTTTGTCTTGTCTTGTCTTGTCTTGTCCACAATTGCCTCACAACGTAGTGGGGAGTCGCAGTTTTATATCCTGGGCCAGGTGTGTTGCACGTATTGTTGTTAGTCCGTGTTGCCTCAGGATCTCTGATATATTTTCTATCCATCGTACTCTCGGTCTGCCTCTTGCTCTAGGGCAGTAATATTCTGTTTGTCAGCCTGTATAATAATGTGAATGACATAGTCTCATGCAGTTTGTACCTCCCAGCATCCCATATTTTCTATAAAGGAAAAGTAGGGAGGAAAAGAGCTATTATTAACCTCACGTGGAGTGGCCTAGAAATGTAAAGAGCTGTGACGGTATCTTGTGTGACATTACCTGGCATTATCATCATCATCATTATCATCATCACATGCCATGCCAACAGTTGTGGGTAGTCATTATCTGCTGTTTCCAATGATCACCATTCTTAGAGCAGGTTTGTCATCATGCCCTGAGTGTCAAGTAGTCAAGCTCTTGGTCTTTATTTAGTTTTTTTTTTTTTTTTCCTTCCTTTTTTCTCCATCAAGTCTTCCTGTTGTTGTTAGTAATTTTTCAAGCTTAATTCTTCTCATGACATTTTCCCCAAAAAATTATTTCACGATTGAATGCATATTTTAAAATTGTAACTGACAGGTAGAAATGTAGCACTTCATCAGAGGACCACACAGGCCAGGATCTACCCGTATACGTCACTGTCCAAGAATGCTGTTGATGGCAACAAGGGCAACATTTTGGAATATCACAGGTGTACAAAAACAAATTTTGATGACAACAGCCCTGCATGGACTGTGATCTTCTCCGGGAAACTGACAGTGAACAGATATGTGCTCTACAATGGAGCAACAAGTAATGAATATGTAGTTACAGTGGTTGTTTCATCTCTTCCTGTCTAGCCTTGTATGTTGCTTTTTTAGTCCAGTAAATGACAACATTCTTATGCATTGTAAACACACTTTGTAATGTCGGAATACCAGATTTGATCCCAGCTACAGGCAGTTTGGCAGCAGAGCACTTGCACTGGTTTCAATGGTGGTTTCAAGAGCTGACTATTAAGAAAGCAATGGCAAACAATTGAACTGAAATTTGCCTAGGAAAGCCACAACTATAAAAAAAAAATGCTGGGGTTGGTTCTGCATATGCCAAATTCGTTTTTGCTCTTTTTTTTCTCAGTAGTTGGGTTAAGTCAAAATCCAACATCAAATCTCTCTGCACATTCTCATACACGCGCCATCCCTTTCTTTAGCAGTCAGTAAAGAGTTCCAGTTCCAATGGTACCAGCATCAGTTAGATTATTTGTTGTCTTGCTTTTTATCTGAGTGTAGAATGTTGGCCTGATCTCACTGCCGTACTGCACTACTAGACCAGTATAATCTTGCCTAGCTTTGTTTGCCCTGTCTTGTGTTTTTTTTTTTTTTTTTTTGCTTTGTCAAGTCTAGCAAGATGGAATATCCAGATCTCTTCCCCCCCCCCCCCCTTTTTTTTTTTTTAATGTATTCCATGTGTGTTCAGTTGAACAGAGCTAAGTGACTGCCAGATTTCTTTGGTAACTGGATATATTACAATTTTCTAGCCAAATAAACTTTCTGTGCTGAATGTCTGTAACTGGGTGCATTTTGTTGAGCATCCGAGTCATGTTTTTTATAAATGCATTTCTTTGTCTTGTCTTGTCTTTTTGTTTGGTCTAGATTTTTTTATAATTATTCTTGTATTTTATTGCTTTGTCTAGTCCTGCCTAGCCTTAATTTTCTCATTTTGTCTTGCTTAATCTAGCTGTCTATACTTTTTTTTTTTAAATTATGTGTCCATCTAGTGGTCTGCGTTCATTTCGACAGCGGTATGGAGTGCTGACCGTTCAGTTTCAATGGCAAACTACTGAATGTAAAACTGCCTTTTGAAACCATTAAAAGCCAAAAACTGCTGGAGTTGATTCTGCTATATCCTGTAGATGATACACAACTAACTTTTCTTCTTGCTTTGATTTACTTGCGCCCACTTTACTTTTCTTACTTTCCCCAGGCTTGTACGACCTTCCTCTGTCTAGCTTAATCAAGTCTTTCTTTGCTTTTTCTAAGCTAATCTTGACATGTTTTATTTTGTCTAGTGATACTTTGCAATGTCTAATTGTCTTTTGCTGTTTCTAAATTTGTTGGTTTAGCCTAGCCTTATCTTGCTTAGCATTGTTTAGTCTAATCTTGTCTGGTAGTTTCAGGTCTAGTGTAATCATGCTTTGCAATGTCTAGTCTTGTATTATCTAGTTTTGTCTTCTGTTATCTTGTTTTATTGTATACAATCGTATGTCATCGTTTTTTTTTAAAGATTACCTAAACTAGAAAAGTGACTTACGTTACTGTATGGTAATGGTTTCAGTTTCTCACAGACTAGAGGGATTCCTACTAGAAAGTTTCAGTGAAGAAGGGACTAATGTGTTCAGGTTTAAGGATCCTGTGCCTACAGTCCCAGGCGTGTACACAGTTACATCAACAGCACCAACCTCTCCGATTTCACTTGTAAAGATACAGAGTACCAGCTTTTTGGTACTGTGTGAAGTTGAAATTTTTGGGGGTAAGTATGTAGCCTGTTTAAGTTATTATGAAGATCTTTAAAAAAGGTAAAATAAATGACATTACCACACACTGGGGTGTTGTGTGCATATGATGCTATTCAATATTTATATAAATAAATGACACTTGATAAGTGGGGCAGTCATTATCACACCAGCCATTTTTTTCCCCAAACCATTTTCTGATACCCTTTGAGAAACGCTGAAAACCCATTTTGATTTTTTAAATGTACAAACGTTTGTATACTTGACAGCAGACAGACTTGCTTGCCATTTTGCTAACTTGAGCTCTGTTACGGTTTTTGGTGTTTTTTTTTTTTTTTAACATCAGTAAAAATTAGCTAGATAGCTGAGATTCTTCTTCACAGTATTTTTCAACCTATTCTTCTTCAGGTGCCTAGTCTGTCTGGAGCAGCCAATCACAACTATTGAAACCTCTCATTGTGTGATATTTTAATTAAACTGATACTGCTTATAATATTTCTTCACACAATGCTAATTTCTCAGTTGTCCCTTCTCTGTTGATATGCCCCATAGATTTCATTTGTTTTTTCCTGACGGTTTTGTGTCTGACCTAGCAGCACCAGCAGCTGGCCATATCTCACCTTGTGTTCTTTTCCTTTTACAATAATCTGAATACCAGCATTCAAATATGAGACCCAGGACCCCATCTTAGGAAACGTCATGGAAAGATATAAAACCAGATGAAAAGTAGATTAGCGAGCTTCACAATATAACAAATACAAATGAAGAAAGTGAATGTTGCGGCTACAGAACCTTCATCAGCACAAACATAAGATGTCTAGCAAGAGGAATAAACACGTGTAGCCCAAGACATCTTAGGAAATAAGCATAGACTCACTGTCCCAGCAAGCGTGTTATGAAAGATGACTAAAGAGGTTTGCTGAAATTAGATGTGCTGGACCAATAAGTCCAGATGTCTGCCTATCTGTAAATCACAACACAATGCTAATCTAATGATTACAGTTACAATAGCCCTAATCCACTGAAACACCAGCAAAATTATTGAGATCTGTTTGTGAAGTGCTCTATAGCTTCATAATAGGACAGACAACAAAAGGGACAAGGAAAAGAGCTTTAACATAATTTATCTAATCCTGCAGATAGTTTATGTGAGTCTGGCCTGTATTGTTGAGAATGTGAATACAACTGCTCTTTGAAAAATTAACATAAAAGAAGATCCGAACATTGTTCAAAACAAAACAAAAACAAAAAAAAACAAAAAACGACACACTCGCTCTAGTTTCTTAACAATTTATTTACTCATTGTCTAGCATTTGCTTGCATGCATAAGAACAACACACACAAAATCTTAAGGTATTTTAGTGCTTGTTGTGCGTCTATTAGTACTGTAGAATTGGGAATAAAGATCGGCACAGCCAAGCATGAGAAGCACACAGGACGCACATAAAGTCTTGTTAACCAACATAGGACTGGCACTATTACCTACGCGACGCTGATGACAATATTGAAAGGGGAATCTGAGCACCTGTCGGTGTGTCTGGAGTGCTCGGAAGATAATCTAACTCAAAACTCATAACTCATAGTATTATTTTCCACAGGTCTACTTTTCACAGGAGATCCCCAGTCTACCTGCATTATTTTATACATAAAGCTTCTACCTTTTGGTGAACTCTGCCAGTGACTACACTATTGCTTAGATAGCTCTTGTGATAGTCATTGAATCATGGTTAAGGGGAGCCACTGAGAACACAGGGGGAATACATCTCATCCGCTCTGTGTCCTAGAAAGAATGCTGATTGTAATGTCTGTTTACAGCCAAGTGTCGTTGCTTCTGCTATGCTGCCAGCACATTCTATCATATTCTGTTGCTGAATTGTTCAACTGTTACCTCTAGAGGTGCCAATCTGATCATTCATTTCCACGTACATCAGCATGGCCTAAATTGTAGAACCATTTGTGTTCTCAAAAGTGTGATGTGTGTGTCAACTATTCTTGACAAGAAATATTGATCTACCATGGAAACATGAGGAGTGTGACATCATCCAGTTCCATGGAAAAAATATTCTAAAAATTTAATCCCTGCCATGATGTAGAAGCTGGCCTGCAGATTTGATTGTTCGTGCGTTCAAATCCGAACAGTGTTGGACCTTGGTTCTCCGGTCTACCCAACCTTAAATTTGTGTGAGGTACTGTCTTGGAAAGCAAAGGCAGCCAGCATGATGTTGCCATATCACCCATCAAATGCCGATTGGTCTATAAAACATAGGTCTATCCCCATATGCTAAAAATGCCAAAAGGCATGAAAAGGGGTTCTTTACAGACTCGATCTGCTGATTTCTTCTGACATTGCAGTAGATGCAATAACTACGCCACCGAACCCCGTGAAAAGATTGACATCTGTTTGTAAAGGGTTCTATAAATCCTTAATAGGACAACAAAAGGGACAAGGAAAAAGCTTTAATATAATTTATCTAATCCAACAGATAGTTTATGTGAGTCTGGCCAGTATGGGCGGGAATGTGAACACAAGTGTGCCTGTGCAGATAAAAATGACACATGCTTTGTCAGCACTGGAGGATGTCCTTCTGGGTGTGCTCCTGGTTTCCAAGGGGAATCTTGCAGTCAAGGTCAGTCAACGTTAGGAATTGACTGTTGTGTATCTCATTATATGTATACTTTTATTGCTGTTATAGTTTTGCCATTGGGAATGTATATTTTGCCAGTATATAACAGTAAAAAGAAATTTTTAAGACACAAAAATAGGTATTAACCACCTCATCATGAGTATTAACAGGAACTGTGAACAAACCCAGAAAAAGATCATGTGAGAAAGAAAAAAAAAGGGATCAGAAACACTGTTGGTGATCAAGAAATTGCACTTCCAACATTACAGCAACTGGGTCACCCCATTCTTGTGCCAGCGAAAAGAGGAACCTTTCATATTCATAGGTTATCTTTAAGTTGTTCAGTCATGAGGCTGGTACTAAAACCATATTGTCATGTCGCTGTCTCCAGGTCCTTGTAGCTTTCTACAGCTCAACTCTAATGTTTTAAAGCAACTCTGTTTAGTGGAATTTGTTTTTTTCATTGCTTTTTTTTCAGATTTCAGTTTCAGATGAGGTTTGAGGTTTGAAGTTGAACAACGGATCAACATCCTGGCACACGGGTAGTAACCCATAAGTGCTCTGCTCTTCTTCTAACCCAAGTCTGAGTCTGATGAAGCTAAGCACAGTGAACAGGCTCTGTAGCACCAGCGAGAATCCTGACATTCTTTGGGTAGATTTTAAGCTCTAAATTGTGCCCGGGCAGCACCGTTAGGCTACTCTTTTCGATTTTCAACTGCCAAGAGATTTTTTACATGCACAACAATGCACACGGGCGTCCAGTCCAACTACCCAGAGACCAGGGGGAATTACAAAGTCCAAGTCCACATGAAAAAAGTCCCAGTCCGCCCCAGGGATTGAACCCGCGACCTCTAGCACTTGAGGTGGAAACCATGCGCAGCCCCCACGCAGTATAAGATGTCTGTGTCAAAAACTGTGACCAAGCCTTATTGCAAAAATAATAGGGGTATTTTTGTCAGTTTGCTCTTATGCCTTTAGAAATCTGTTTATGTCGTTTTTTTTTTTTTTTCTGTTAGTCTAGCCCTGTGCTTTTGACATATCAACACATGTGAGAAGAGCTTAAGGTTCGCGTTTTAAAGGTTCATGAGTGTAGGCAGAGAGCACAGAACTATTGACTTAAAGATAATAGATAAAAGGGCAAACAAGAGCAAGAATTTATACTTGTGGAGCATCTTTACTTGCGATGGTAGACTAGAGAGAGAGAGAGAGAGAGAGAGAGAGAGAGAGAGAGAGAGAGAGAGAGAGAGAGAAAGAGAGAGAGAGAGAGAGAGAGAGAGAGAGAGAGAGAAACAAGAATCCAGAGAAGATGGATTGAAGGAATCACTGAAGGCTTCACAACATCACAATATACCCAGCAGTCGATCATGCCCTGGCTGGGCTACCCATTATCTGTAAAACGGTGATGCCTGGTGGCATAAAGCAGATATTGATAAAAGAAGAGAGTAGTGTTAAATTGCAAGATATATACAGTGATTCTTCTTTCCTTATAGATCACACTCAAGCATGCATACGCACACACACACCCACGGGCACACACACACACAGACACACAGAGAAACAAAGAGAGACACACAGAGATACACATAGATACACATAGACACACAAAGACACAGACACAGAGGGACACAGAGAAAGAGAGAGAGAGAGAGAGAGAGAGAGAGAGAGAGAGAGAGAGAGAGAGAGAGAGAGAGAGAGAGAGTAAACTGCAATATCTGGCTAATGTGCCTAAGTGTAAGCCAGATAACAAAACAAAATCTGGATATGCCAGAGTTCTATAAATACATACTACCCATTCGTGTCTTTAAAAAAACAGCCTGTTTATGCCGAAATCCGCTCCCATTCATATTTTCTTACCTCTTAGTACAGGCCAGTAATTTTTTAATTGTTTCTTATGTTTTGTACTGTATGTTTTTAAAATGTTTATTGTGGGGAGTGGGGGGGGGGGAGGAAGTCCAAAATTAAAAATATTGTTCACATTTTAGGATAATATTCATATTGTCTAACTAAACTTCAGGAAAAATAAAATTGTGTACACCATATAGTGTGAACACCGACACATTACAATTAACAAAACATTAATACAAAATGTAGGCTTACAAAAATTATTTCAACTTGTTTCTGGTAACTGATAAATAATTACACAGATGGGAAAAGGTCACATGGTCAGAACTTAGTTTTTAGTTTGTTTTGAAAAAAGTGTGTCATAGATGACTGCTTGACACATTTTGCCCTCTTCCTTGACGCAGTCGCTCTCCACTTACGCAAGCAGTTAATGTCAGCTGGTATGGCTACCTTTTACTCAGTAATGTATTTCTGCGCTGTTTAGTGATTAGTGATTAGAAATGATTATCAGTACAGCACTCCGGACACATCCATGGGTGCTCTGATCTCCTCCTCAAAAGCTCCACAAGTGTAAAACGACTGATGACGCCTGTTCTGTGTTGGTTAATGAAACATCTTGTCCCTTTAGGGAAATGTTTATTTCTTACAGCACCAAGCTGCACCCCAATGTCCATCAGTCTAGGCAGGGATACAGAGTCATGTCCTTTGGCGTGCTCCTCGGTACCGTAAGTGCAGCGCATGGCATTAATAACATCACTTCTGTCCAGTACTGGACCAGTCATAACAACCGCAGTGTCAGCAAGATAGTCTGCACTCTCGTTCCCTTGAACACCCATATGACCTGGCACTGTTTCAATCGACTTGACATTTCCGAATTCAGGATGAGACTGTTCCTGTCATCTAAGTTTGTCAGTTGTCATTTACATTGACATTGTCACCGCCTGGTACTTGTTCCAGCATTGAAACAAATTTATTGTTTACATCGTCCATTTTAGTTTTCCCACATTGAAGGTTTAAATATTCACCTTTATGGTCCAAAGGAATTTTTCAAGACTTTATTAGGGATATGTTTGGAATCTCTTTTCTTGCTTCAGCCACCCACCTTATGATATCTAGCACGTCAACTTTTTTTTTCAGGGTGGTTACCTAGTCTTCACTAGTATCAGTCACTGATATCAGCGAACTTATAAAAGGCAAAATGATATGTTTCTCTGTCATTTTTCTTCAAACTAGGCCAGATAATATGGCGTCCAGATAATCACTAGCTGGATAATCAGTGTTTTGTATATGTATTATATATATATATATATATGTGTGTATATTATATATATATACTAACTATGAGCAACAAAAACCACATTAAAGATATGATTTCCTAGTATTTAACTGATGTTGAACTGTCCTGTCCTGTCCACCAGTCTGTAGACACGGATCACATGGACCCGACTGTAGCAACTCTTGTTCACAATTTTGTAGAACGGACAGTAGCAACACATCATCATGTGATCATGTTCATGGTGCCTGCCTGCATGGCTGTAAGCCTGGCTACACTGGAGCAATGTGTTATGAGGGTAAGTGGCTGTTGAGAGCAACATTGTGATAAATGGGGAAGGTGCTCTTCTGTCAATGAGCATGATGCCTGAATGACTGTCTGGAGCCACCTGTGCTTGTGATGTTGTTATTGTGTGGCAAGTGTTCCACTGAGTTGTTAGTTGTTAGTCTAGGTCTCAACATCACTGCAGATGGTTTGCCACACAACTGTTCGATTACAATGCTAGTGTAAATTACACAACATTCTTCACTGTCCTATTTGAAAACTAGTGAAAAACGTGCCATTCGTTGCAAAGTCTTGAAGCTTATGCACGTAAAGTAAAAATACACAAAGCAACTGTAAGATGTGCCAACAATAACGGTTCCACACCAGAATTGCAGCTTACTGTTGGTGCAAATGGTCAATCATGAAAGCAGGCATTACACCCATAGAATTGCACACCATTCCTAATATAAGCAGCCACCTACTGTTTTAGTGCAGTCAACAACAGGCTGCACATGCACACAAAACTTTGCCCATGAAAGTTCCCAGTGTTGTAACAAGAACTCACCTCTCTACCTGGGAGATGGAACCTGTATTTCCTAATGAATGAGCACGATGCCCAAGTGAATGTCAGGAGCAACTTGTAATTGTTATTTTGTGGTAAGTGTCAGTAATCTTGTTCCCACTAATTAATAAGCCTGATGCCTAAGGGCTTGTGAATGTAAATGTTTAGTCTTATTTCTAAAACATGTTAATGCACGGACATAGAGCTAGTGAATACAATTTTTCATTGTATTTCTTCTTCTTCTGCATTTTCCCTTAAAAGGTCAGTTGGCCTATTGTGTTGTGGTTTACAGCTAGGCTGCAATATCTGACCGTTCGGTCCACCACACCCGATTAAAAACAACCCCTAATTGGTCACATATTATTTTTTTTTTTTTTCATCGAACACCGGCTGTGAATTCCAGTGGAAGGTCCCGGTTAATCGTCCGCTTGGACTTTTGGCTTTCACCTGGACCTGATTTTTGCGTGTACAACCGTTTTTCATTTCCCTGCCTCATGGGCAGCTGTACGCCGACTTCGAAGGAAGACGTCAGGCCTATTTCTAGGGTGACTGTGGTCATTGTTTTGTGTGGGTCGAGACGTTGCCTGATTTGTGTGGTGTCCACTTTGTCTCCTTCGCCGCAGGTATTGCCCCCGGAGTACCCCTTTGGGTCAGCCCCCTGTGGAACAGTTAGCCCTCAAGGGAAGGCAGGGGCAGATCATGGGCATTCCCCGCCATCCAAGGAGGCATCCATGTATGCAGAGCCGGCACATGGCGCTTTGGTTCTGGGCTCACCCAAGGAATCGTCACGTCCTGCACATGCCTGCTTAACCTCACAACCGTATCAGGCCTCCCGCTCGACAGGGGCTGCGCCCTCTGGAAGTCAGCGGGGAGCAGCCCGTGGGTTTTGGACTTTTGTGACCACACAGATAGGTACATTCTTTTTTTTTTTTTCTTCGCACGTTAGATTTCTTTGACGAGCCGTTAGCCCGACCGAATTTTACATCCTGCATCAGGCATGTCGTTATCATTTTTGTCCCAACACTCGGGCGAGTGGGGTCTTTGGGTGTTGACATTCGGTCT